CTTGCGGAGAAAGATTATTGTTACCCACGCAAATTCTGCCTTTCACTTCCACTTGTCGATCGACGCCCCTTAATGGGGTGCATCGATTCGCAATGGAAAAGAGATCCTGTGATGCTCTCAATGTATAACGGGCATTCTTCTTTCCGTTTACGAAATACAAAAACCAAAATTCCCGGGATGCAACATGATCGGCACCATTCCTGCGTTTCGGGCGGGACAAAGCGCGCGGCGTGTTCGCTCTGACGATTCTATTCCCCTCTATTCAACATTCTTTCGAGCGTATGGGCTGCATACGAAGGTAATCTATCTGCGGAATAGCTTTCGATTCGATTTCAAATGGAGCGAATTAACGGCAGATCCCCCACGACCACGCGTATACCGTCGCGTCGTTGCAGAGAGAGAGAGAGAGAGAGAGAGAAAGAAAGGGAGAGACGAGAAGTCCTCGGACGCCCATCGATTTCCCCGAGGCGTGGAAAAACGCCCGGATATAACGAGAAGTATGCGGCGTCGTGCGGATACTGCCGTCGTTTCTTACCGACGTATGCCCTTTTCACGGAGGGCGGAATTCGTCTTCCCTCCTTTTCTCCTTTGCCTTCCCCCGACGATTCGATCGCGATGGTCCGACCACGCATCGTTTGTCACACGGTCAATCGCATTACCGCGTCCGCCCGGCGCGCGATGGTACGGCACGTAAGTGGGCAACAACGCCGAGTGGAAACGGCGATAAGTGCGCGCGGTACCGAAAAAAAAGGTCGATCGCGCGCGCGACGAGAGAGTTCGTACTTCACCGGCGCAATTACTTCTGCCGCATAAAAATTGAAGCCCGCGTGGTTAAGGACAGTTAACGACACTTGTCGCCGCATTTTGCAACTTTCCAATCACGTCATTCCAGTTAATATCGTATACCGACCGTGTGTCGCAACGCGAAAAATTTCCACGGCATAAAATTTGCCAGGGTACACCTCACGCGCGGTATTTTATGCGACCCAAATTGCATTTTATGCACGCGAAGAAGATTTCCGATAGCAAAAAGTTTCTCAGGTAGCTCTCTCTACTCTCCCGGACGGGGAGTCTCTTCTCGATGGCGCGTCGACACTTCTTGCATTTTACACGAATATAAAATATAAATAGATCCTCCGTTTCGGAGGAAATTTTACGTCCTCGACTACGCGCGCCTCGAAGTTGGAGCGCGATTCCGAGGCGATCAGTTTCGCGCATCAGAATTCGCGATAGTACAGGGCGGCCTCCAGTTCCACGCCGGGCGAGTTCGTATACCACGAGTAGATAGAGCCGAAAGGGGGCAAGGGGGGGGGTGGAATGACGCGCGCAAGGGATGCGATAGATACGGACGCCCTCCGCCTAGCTACGAGGGCGAAGGCAAAGATTTATGATGCCGGTGCGTCAGCATCGCACGTCTCAATTTCGGAACCGCCGTCGCGAGAGAGTCAACGGGAACCGAGAGTTCGGTTCTCTTTCTCTCTCTCTCTCTCTCTTTCCCGCCCTTTGTTGCTCGTCGTGCCGTGGACGCGATAAGGGAAAGGTACGGCTACCGACAGAACGAGGAAAAAAAAAGGAAAGAAAATAAAGGAGAAAGACGAGTCAGACGAGATAGCGGCCGGGCGGACTGCGAGCAGGAACGAAGCGCGGAATTAATCCGGCCGGCAGCTTCTCCCCCTCCTCCCTACCGTCCCCCCCCATCCTCCCCCGTATACGCGCTTCCGTTTCCGTCCCGGCCGTACCTCGCCGGAAAATAGTTCCTACCTCGGACTCTGAGAGCGGCGTCCGACAATGGAGTAATTATTGCAATTAGCGAGCTACCTACTCCGTGGATGCTTTTTCGTGCAGCGCGGAGCCGTGCGGAGAGGACCGCGGGCGGGCGGAGAGGAAAAGGTGGTCGATACTACTCACGCAGCTTTGAAAATCGCGAATTTCGCGGGAGAGAGTGAATCGCTCTACCGCAAACTCGTAAAATGACTCTTAATGATGCTCGTAGCTACATCATTTGCCCCGTACGTATATAGACCTGCGCACCCCACGCGAACCTCACGAAGAGCTGAAGTTGCATTTATTGGTCGTAAATCCGACCGCCCCCGTGCGAGTTCGATGGTTTCGCGGTGGTTGCAAGTTTCGGCTCTGAAACACAAGGGCTTTTCCTCTCGTTTCCAGCTTTCCCGTTTGTAAAGCCGGTCTCGCTCTCTCGAACGAGAAAAGTATACGGGGTGTCTTCTCTCCCCGTGTAAAATTTCGGGGAGTGTACGTTTACCGCGGGTTAAACGGTACTTCGCGTTTTTCTCTCGCGAAAGGCACAAAATATAGAGCAGTGTTGACATAAACGTCGCTCCGTTCTCGTTATTATAAAAACACCTGAAACCGACAAGATATATCTGAAATTTTTGTATCAACAAATTTATCCACGCATTAATTCGTCACCGTCAAATATTCGCGGACAGGTATATAAACACGTGCGCGGATCGCCTTCCCCCTCCCCCCCCCCCTTGAACACCGGCAGGTATTTATGATGAAATAAACGGCCGGAGAATACGGAGGAAAAATAAATACGTAGATATTTGCGGTACTTTTTACATCGTGCCCTCCCTAACGGTACCGCCAACGTTTATAACCGACGATGCATATACGTGGAGTCATATCGTGACACGCGGGTATACATAGCACGATTACCGTAACAGCTATTGAGCCTCGGCCGCGCGGAGAGTGCGGACTTGATGAAAGCTGCAATGAAGCAATCGCGCATCTGTCTTAATGACAGGAAGGAGGCCCCGCGCACAAAGCCAACCACGATTTCACCGAGGCAATACGCGCGGACGGTCTCTATCTCTTTCTTGTATTTATTAGCCGACCGACGACGATTGACCGACGATCACGTGTCGCGATCTTTGGCTCGCGGGGATGGAATGTCGACGAGGGAGATGAGAACGTACGCGGGAAGGAGCGTCTTCGTCGTCATCGTCCTTTCAACGTGCACGATGGCATTTGCTCCAGCATTCGAACGGGATGACGCGAGTGTTTAAATCTGAAATCGTCGATTGAAATTGTCGAGAGACCCAGAAACCACGCCGCGATTTCTCTCTCTCTCTCTCTCTCTCTCTCTCTCTTTCTCTCTCTCTTTTCGCGACGAAATTTCTTCCTCATTTTTATCACGTTTGCACGTTTCGGTAGGTCGCGGAGGTTACTCCCTGCTGGCGGCTTCTTCTAACATTGCGGCTTTTGCGTTTTGCCCTTTTGCCACTTTGTTCCGTTGTGAATAAGAGTCGCGGGTGGTGGAAGTCGCGCGGGGTGGGCGAGCCGCGGAGCGCCGCTGCAAAGCGGGAGTTTGCGGAGAGAATCGCTTGGTTAGAATAGAGTTTCAAACAGAAGACGCGATGCGAAAGGCAACGCAACGCGCTTTGCGCGCAAAACGAATAGCAGACGCGACGTCGCCAGGTTGGCAAAATGGAATTACGGGTCTACCGTTGTAATAAAAATGTAAATTGCACGATATAAAAAAAAACGATATCAGCGGGAGGGGATTGGAGTATAGTTTTTTTTCTCAGCAGTCGGCTAATTTCAACGTTCGCGGCGCAATTTGATAACAAAGTACCTTTCCGTGCGCCAACTTGATTCAGAATATGCAATATGTAATTTCCTGACTCTTTAGAAACCTCTTTTCCGTCGCGATCAAAGAGATAAGTACGTAAGCGATGCAAGGGTACTTCGTGTAGTCTCGTAAATCTTAATTCCATTAACCGTGAAAAGGTATCCACTGTTGCATTTTTGTTAGTATAATAAAGAGATTGAATAATACTATCGTGCGGCTAGAAAAGAAGCGTAACATTTACGAGCTTCCCCGATTACGCTTTCTTGAGTAAACCGAGAGCTTATGCGACGGCATCTTCTTTCGCGAGCGTTCGCGAAAAGAACCGATTTATGAATGACAGCAAAAATTTCTCTCACTCTACTCTCTTTCTTTACGCGAACATCTTTAACATCTGCAATACGTCGAAAACAAGAATTCTTTCCGATGTGATGATATTGGATTTGTTTCCGGAAAATGAACACACGCAGTTTGCGTTGCGTGCAGGATTATCTCCGCAATTAGGAGTCGCTGTAAATTATCCGTGCGTATAAGCGTCGAGGGTCCTTCGATTAACACTTTACTGACACGTCAATTCGTGTAATATCGTACACGAAAAGAATGACGTTGGACCAACAGCATTAGCCGACGGCAGTTTAATTGGAGTTAATCTTGTTCGGTAACTGGTATTAATGAAGCAAATAAAATATCTCGTTAAAACAAGAACACGGCGTATTTGTTTCATTAATACTGTCATTGGAATTAATAAGATTATTTTCAATTAGATATGCCGTCGGCTAATGTTGTTAAATTTTTTCCCCCCGTGCGCCATCAAATGTTCTCGTGTGCAACTGAATGAAGAAATTATGATAATTCGCAGCGATATCTCGCGATCGCATATCGAGTATTCATTTGCGTGAAAAAAAATAGCGCTATATTGGTTTAGGAATTCCACAGCAAGTACGTATGTTGATTAATTATCGTTCGCTTGTGCTCTAATTATTTTCAGTCAAGTGATACGTAAAATTCTGAACCGTTAATTATTTTCATTTGAAAGTAGCGTATAATTTTGTGTAAATTGTATATTTACACGTAACTCATACTGTGAGTTATTGAAAGAAATACGATTTGTAGTTATTTTTAAGAAATATAATCTACACAGGTGTAAAGCATGAAATTCATCCGTCTCACGTGTTAACGCATCGCTACAACTGCTAATGATTACAGTTGCAGTGCTGCAACAATTCACAAATATCGGAATCCCGTAGAAGCGTCCGTAATTATACTAATTACTCGCATTAAGAATTAATCAGCATTTCACGCGCGTATACGCGCGTCGCAGCGAAACGTGGCGCGGCCGCCACGCCGCGCTGTCAGTAAAGTGCCAACGTGGACGGATGATTTTTTTTTTATGGCAAGATGGACTTACCTGGGGGACAATTGCACTCGGAGATGTCACGTTTGAGCCTGAAGACCGCGCCGGAGTCGAACCGCTGCGCCTGCCGCAGCTCCTCCTGCATCTCCGCCTTGAGCCTCTGCAGCAGGGCCTCCACCGGCGACGAGGGGTCCTGGACGCGCAGGCAGCGTGCTTCCAGACTCGTGATCCTCGCTTCGAGGCTGAGCTCGCGGTAGAAGAGCACACCGGACACGGCCAAGCTGGCGAGACAGAGGGCGCACATCGCCCAATTGAGGCCCGCGGTCCGCGCGCGGAGGGCCTCATCCCGGAACTTCCGCGGCATCGACGCCTCCAGGCAGGATGGCGACGACGGCTCCTTGCCCGTCCCCGGGCCCGACGGCCAGGACTTGGCCGCCGGGTCGTTCTTCATCGCTGTCGCTGTGGTTGTCGTCGCGCACGCACGCACGCACGCACCACGCACGCACGCCACGCCACGCTACGCCACGCCACGCCACGCACTCGCGGCTGCCGACCCGGGGCTCCGGGGTCTTTTGCGAAGCGCTTGACGAGCGTCCCTAAGCGGCGCGGCGCGTCATAACCCGCGCGATGCACGTCGATACACCGTCGCGCGTGACCGCGGCGGCGGACTTTCGCGTGGAGGGACGATAAATGGTAAGTACGGCGATACGCTCTTACGCTCCGACCAACGCACGGCGGCGATCGTTACAGACGTCGCGGCGTCATCGTCCATCTGGAATGCATCTTCGCCGCTCGACCACCCGTCGCGCTTTTCTCGCTTTCGCCGTTCGCTCGATTTCTCGCGCCTCGATGACGAATAGCTAACGTTAATTTCGACGCTCCTACGATTATTTCGGCTCACCACTCCGCGTCCGCGATTACTTCGATTACTATCGATTGCTCCGATCTCGATTGTATACCGATTGTATATCGATTGCGATACACGAGCGACGACGCGATACTGATCGGGACACGCGCGGCCGCGCGCGTTCGTTCGTTCGTTCGTTCGTTCCCGCGTTCGGTATGAAAACTGCCCGGCGCGACGCGCTCCAGACACGTCCACCGCCGCGCTAATGACAGCGAGTCGCGTTCTCGCGCTCCCGTGGACTCGCGCACTTTTCACACATCGAACGGCGATGACAGCGGGGGAGGGCCGGCGACGGCGTGCCGCTGCTCCGTTTCCTCCCTCTTCCCTTACGACTTGCTGTCGCCTTCTTCTTTCGCTTGGCCCGACGCGTTACCGGAGGGGGGAGGGGGAGGAAAAGGGGGGGGGGGCAGTCGAAATGGAACCGAGAACACGCGCCGTCTGCCGACGGCGGCAAACTTCACGGCGGTCGTCGCCGCTGCTCGAAGCAAGAACAAGATTTACGGCAGTGACAAAAGAGAGAAAGAGGAGAAAAGAAGAGAGAGAGAGAGAGAGAGACAGAGAAAGCCGAGAGGAGAGAAAGAGAGGACGAAAGCCGCGTGACAGCAAGACGGAAAACGTTCGCTTTTCGCGTTCCCGGACGTCGTAGCACGTCGCCGTTTTACGAGGGAGAAAAGCACGGGGAGGCGCGCACACGGAGCGCACGGTTTAACATTCGCGGTACGACTGGATGTGGTGGGGCGACACTGCGCCGCGTCCGCCGCGAGGACACACAGGGTTCGTCGCTTCGGCGCCGCTCGGCCGCCTTCGGCTCGGCTCGCCGCGCGCCGCCGTCGTCGTCCCACCGCCCGCCACCGCCGCCGCCACCGTCGCTGCCGTCGTCGCCGCCGTCGCGCGCCGCGCAACCACTTCGCTCTAACGGGGCCGGCAAACGTGCGCGTATTATACGTATGTACGTGGGACGTAACGTAGCCGTTACGATCGCTCCGACCTAACGAAACCGACGAAGCGGCCGCCTCCATTCGCACTCCTCGCCCTTTCCCGCATATCACTCCGTCCACGTTCGTCAGCCCTAAGCGAACGAAGCGAGATTCGACAACGCGCGGAGGGAGAAAGAGAGAGAAAGAGAGAGAGAGACAGCGTGAAATGCACCTCTTTCAGTTTCTCTCTTCCCACCTTTATCTTCGTTCATGTCCATTATCCACTCGGATTACACACCGGAGGATTCTACTTTCGTACGCACATAAACGGCTTTAACATCGGGAGATTGTTTTTTGCCCCTGATGCCTGCCGCGTCCATTGCTGCAAGGCACCTCCATTCCACGAATGCGGCGTGTTCGCCTATATTGTTTGACTCTCAGGTATATGTTTTTTATCGTTTGCATACTTGGCGTTCGTGCGCCTTCGTAAACTTGCTTTACGGTATCGAATCATTATATATTGCAGGAAGGATATTTTATCCTTTTGCAAATAAGTTTGAATATGATTGAAATATCGTCCTAAAGATCGTATCGATAGCAATGCCAATGTAATAAAAAAAAAAACGAAATGTCCGGACCTCTCTTTCCCTCCCACTTTTTTTTCTAATAACATACACTTATTAAATTTATATATGGTGTCAAATTTAATCTTATTTAAATCGCCACTGCTTCTACTTAATAAATAGGTATTTTTAACTAAAACAATGGAGTTAAATAATTTAAAACATTTTAAACTTAATTCAAATTTGAGTTAAATTTCATTGTTTTATTTAAAAATAACTATATATTAAGTATAGGAACAGTGGCGATTTAATAGGGTTAAATTTGACACAATAGATTTAACAGTATAATCTTCTTACTTCTGAAAGATTATATCTTTTAAAAGATATGCTTTTTCTATAATAATCGAATTATTATTGTGCAAAAACGGAGAAAAGTGCACGAGTTTTAGATATATATTTAAAGATATTTCTTGCCAGTGAGATCGTTTTTACAGTCTTTCGCATATAATATTCATAATAATATTTATTATTGAAATCATTACCATTCATGTTTTAACGAACGTTTAATATTATCTCGGGGAAAAAATTTTGAAACGAATCAAGAAGATAAAATTTAAAATATTAAATGTTTGCAAGAAGTTTTACTTCTTACTGTTTGTATATAAAATCAATTAGGAATAACCGTGTTTCCTAGGGAACGTATTTTTCTAGATTAATACTGTTTTAGCATTTAAGACTGTCTTAATGTAGTCAGTTTTTGAATAATATTTCCGCGCGTTGCACGTAGAAATTTTTCACGAAATTAGAAGCAAAGATTCTCAAGAAATTTAATTAAAGGCTAACACGAATCAATTTACGGATTAACTACAAACGCCAATATTGAAACTGACATTTATAGAATAATTAATAAATTAAAATCTTTTTGCATTTTGAATGCAAAACGTAAGAATCGGCTTCTGAATTATATTTCTGATTCAATAAGATGTATTTATTGCCAATTTACCTTTCTCCATTGTTCGTATCATCTCGATATGGAACGGCATGAATGAATTAGAAATGTATATGCAACTACTTATAGTCTTTGTATAGTCTCAGCTTCGATCGCGCAAATTCTATAAATAAGGAACGGAGGCCTCGAACGACGGCCTCGCGAGTCTCGTCGAATCACAGCGTTTACCTTCTTACTGCAGGATTTTCTGAAGGAAAAGATAAACCAAAGTCAACACGACGAAAAGAGTGCTCCATGCATTTATTTAATTTTTGCCAGCGAACGGAAATGCCTTCGCGACAACGTATCTGCAACGCGACTCTCCATAACTTCACGAAATTTTGTTTGCAACGTTTTTATGGCATTTACATTTCATAGCGTACATTCAGATACATCTATTTATTGCGAGCGATAAATTTTTCGTACCACCTGCGTCCTTCGATTTCACTTGTACATTTATACTTCTTATGCATTTGAAAGCGTTATCTCTGTCTAAGAATAATATTAAGCTCGCACATATTCCGTCGCACGTGTAACGTCATCTCGAAAACGATATTTGTTTTGACAGTCTTCGAGTGCTGAAGGGTCGCGAACGAATGGCCGGCCGTAGCGGGACGGTCCACGTCTCTCTCAGTGTGAGCTCAGTTTCATATTATTGTAATATCTTCAACTCTTTCAAACGTTGGAATACACAGCTGACGCTCTTTCGACACCCCTCCGACATCCTTACGGGACACTTCCCTCCCGTTCCTGGGATTTCTCATTTCGAGAATTGACGTTCCGCGTTCGACCGCATTATTAGATCGTCGAGATAAAATCTGAAGCTTTGAAATATTGAGCTTTACAAGTTTCTTGCCTCTCGTAAATCCAATAACGGGATATTTCCCATCTCATCGTTTCCCCGGGAGTCGGAGAGCGCGCGCGGGTACAAAAAAATCTCTTCCCCGTTACGTTCTACTTTCACGGTGCATTTTCAATTTCGATCGCGCGGCGCAACGGGGCGCGGTGTCTATCGCAGCATATCGCTGCCGGACAATTCGGGTATACGTGTGTGCCTTGCGACAGGGTAATATTCTCCCCGGCGACTCTCGTCTCTTAGTAACTATTAATTAGAGACGGTTCGGAAGGTAGCGCGCGGGACGTACGCCTTAGGCTAAGACCATGTGAATGTACTCTCTCTCTCTCTCTCTCTCTCTCTCTCTCTCTCTCTCTCTCTCTCTCTCTCTCTCTCTCGTCCACTCCACTCTCACCGAGTTCAGGTCCGTCGCCCCCGTCGTGAGTTTCCTCTGCACATGCAGAAGCTTAATTCGTTTAATTCGAACGCGAGGGTATTTCGCAATGGAGTCCTCCTCTCGCGCAGCATCTTCCCGAGACCTCAGGCGGTCGTTTAATTCAAGCGCGTAAAATCGACGGTGTAACGAAGCTCTGCCGCGGCGCGTTATACTCGAGTGCGAGCGTACAACACACAAGCGCGAGTACCTTACACACGCAGAGTCCTTGACACAACATAAAATATTTTATACTTTAGATATACCTTTTAGAGACTTTACGGTTTATTTATTCGCCCCGACGAGACGTAATGTGGGACGCGCGTTTAGTTTCAGCCCGCTCTACTTTTCGTCCCCGTTTTCATAATTTCATTAGATAACGCGCGTTATTTCTCTGTGCGCCGCGCGACTCCGTATACCGTTTCAAGTCCGCCCTGTTTCGCGGGCGCGCGCAATCCGGTAATAGCGGTATTAAGTATCTCGAAATCCGGGCAACCGTCCAAGATTACCCATCGGCTATTTGTACCGTCTGAGGTTACGCCGCCGTGCCACCGGCGGCAATTACCAGACACCCCGTATTAGGGAACATTGATCGGCGGAATCGATCGTATCCCCCCGCCGCGTTGTGTACATACACGCGCGGCGGATATGTACAACGAGAACCGACCCCTCGGCCGCTACACCACCCAATCGGCTGGCTAGGCAGAGGAAGTGATTATAG